TTTCTTTCTTTCTTTCTTTCTTTCTTTCTTTCTTTCTTTCTTTCTTTTGTTTATTTATTTAGTGTATGAGTACTCTATCTGCATATATACCTGCACACCAGAATAGAGCATCAGATCCCATTATAGATGGTTGTGAGCCATCATGTGGCTGCTGGGCATTGAACTCAGGACCTCTGAAAGAGCAGTGTTCTTAACCTCTGAGCCATCTTTCCAGCCCTCAATCTGCTTTCTTACAGAACACAAGTATAGCACCCTTTTAAAACTTTTTTTAAACTTTATTTTGCTTTTTAGGCTTCTATTTCCCTTCTAACTCCCCACCCCTACCTATCCCAGCAATAGGTAGGAGACAACAAAGGTTAGAAGGGAAAGGGGACATAGACCTCTTTAGACTTAGTTCCGGCTGGTTAGGGTTGTTGGGTTCCTTGGGAAAGTACAAATCTCAGTCATCAGGATATCTAGCAGTCCAGCAACAGCAAAGTGCAGCAGGATGAACAGCAGCCTTCTTCCTTCTCCATCTGGCTCCTTCCTCTCTCTGGGCTCTGGTATTTATACCCTCCCAGAGTCCTGAGAATTCCACTAACTCCAGCTGGCAAAGGCCACTCCCCTCTCTGAGCTGCAGGAGGCTGTTATCAACGGTGGATAAACTAAGGCAATCCCTTATCCCACAGTTGGGATTAAAACAGAAACATGACCAAAGTCTTAAGGAAACAAAAACTTCCACTACACACAGGACCACAGGCCCAGGGATGGCACCATCTGTAATTGGCTGGGCCCTCCCCCATCAATCACTAATTAAGAAAATAGCCCATAGGACTGCCTATAGCTCAGTATTATGGAGACATTTTATTTGTTTGTTTATTTATTTTCTATTTACTAATTTATTATTTTAATTTTACTTGTTTTACATCCCAAATGCAATTTCCCCTTCCTCTCCTCCTCCCAGTCCCTTCCCTTCACCTTCCCTCCCTCCCCCATTCGCCCCTCTTCTGTTTCTCTTCAGAAAAGGGCCAGCCTCTGTGGCTATCAACCAGCCATGGCATATCAGGTTGCAGTAAGACTAGGCACCTCCTCTCCTATGAAGGCTGGACAAAACAACCAAATAGGAGGAAAGGCCCCAAAGGCAGCCAACAGAGTCAGAGACCGCCCCTGCTCCCGCTGCCCAGCGTCAGTCCCATGCAGGCTTCCTGGCTGGTGGTTCAGTCTCTGTGAGCCCCATGGGCTCAGGTTGGTTGATTTTGTGGTTTTCTTGTGGGGTCCTTGACCCCTCTGACTCCTCCCATCCTTCCTCCCCCTCTTCCTCGGGATTCCCCACACTCCAGGAAGTGTTTTCTTAATTGAGGCTTCATCCTCTCTGATGACTCTGCTTCAAGTTGACATAAAAATATTGCGCCGAAGTCTTTGACTCATTTTTTCTACAGACCATTAGTGGTGGTTTTACTGGTGCAGTGCGTGTGTGTGTGTGTGAGAGAGAGAGAGAGAGAGAGAGAGAGAGAGAGAGAACATGTGTGTGTGCACACATATAGTAAACTGTGTAACTTCGCAGTGCACACTCGGATCTCTCACCCTTACCTGGGCAAAAACCTCCTGCCTCTTCTCCTCTAGCACTTGTTGTGACCACGTGCCTTTCTTTTTGGTGTGCAGGGTCCTCGTGGGAGCACCGAAGGCAGATTCTAAATACAGCGCTTCAGTGAAGTCTCCTGGAGCTGTGTTTAAGTGCCGCGTCCACACCAACCCTGACCGGAGATGCACCGAACTGGACATGGCCCGAGGTGGGTGGGCTTGCTTGTCAGGGTAGAAATGGGGCTCACACCTTCCCACACCTTCCCACTCTGTTCTCTTTCTACAGGGAATGATGGCCTCATCATTCACTGACCTGCCCTCGCGCCCTCTTCTCCTCCCTGCATCTCACAGATGTATGCTCAGATCCTAGTAGTTACTAGGCACTGGGCTATGCCCATGAACAAAGCAAAGATGGAACTGTCATCCTGGGCCTTGAAGACTAGCAGTCAGAACAGACATTAAAGTAAACTAATAGAGTAAGAGAAATCCAGAGGGAAGGTGTGTGTTAGAGCCAGCTCTATGTTGGAGGTTGGAAGAGGCCTCCTTGGGGACCCTTCTGTGTATGGACGATGGCCAGGAGCTAGCTGTGCAGACCCAGGAAGTGAAGTCTCCAGTAGAGCAAGGACAGTGTCACTGGAGTGGTGAGCTGGGGAGGGTGGAAGGGACACATGCCAGGTGAGCTGGGGCTAGGTCACACAGGGCCTCCCAGGAGAGGTTAAACAGAGGGATTTCACTCTCTGTGTGTAACCAGAGAGCATTCAGCTCAGTTTCAATTTTCCATCTTCCATGGTGAAGGGTATGATGGGATGTATTGTGGGGCTCACTTTGTCTAGTAGATCACATGCTTTGGCTCTGGTCCAGCTGTGCCACAGATGGCTTGCATGAGGATTGCTTTGAGGAGCCTGAGATGGGAGAGGCAAGCACAGAAAACCAAGTAAGGAAGAGGCAGGTGGCCCTTCCAGGCCTTGCTTTCTGTAAAGCCCTTTCTCACCATGATTTCATCATCACTTTTTATACACAGAGGTCTGGAGTGATAACTCAGGTAGCAACTGTTGTGAAAGCTCAAGGATCTCAGTCCATCCATCCCTTAGAATCTGCATAAAGGGCTGGATGGGGCTTCATGAACTTGCAACCCCAGTGTTGAGGAGGTGAAGATGAGTATCCGTGGGATCACTGGCTAGCTCATGCAGCTAATCCTGTGAGCTCCAAGTTCAGGGAGAGGCTCTGCCTCAAAGCATAGAGTGGAGAGCAATTGAGGAAGACTCCTGACATCATCAACCTCTGGACTTGACATGCATGTACATACACATGAATACATATACCCCTAACATGTGGCACACACACACACACACACACACACACAAATACACACAATGCTACCTCCAATATGTGCACACACATGCAAACATGTGAGCACACACACAGATGAATGCACATCCAATATGTGCACACACACACATGAATGCACACCCCAACATGTGTATACACACATGTAAACTTGTAAACACACACAACAAAGCAACAACAACAGCAACGAAATGTGCTGATTTTCTTCATCAGAGAGGAGGCATGTGCTTGTGTGATCCACTCTGTGAGATGTTTGTTACAGTAACTTCTGAGAACATTATTTTTCCCTCATGGAGAACGTTGCTATGGAAGAAGGAGAAGCTGACTTAACTCTTTGTTGCAGGTTTCTGTGGCGCTGACATTTTGTTATAAGGTCCAGAAGTTGGTGCCCCAGGCCAGGCACAAACTGACTTCTCTTCTCTCCAAACTGACTTCTCTTCTCTCTCCAGACAAGAATCGAGGTGCGACTTGTGGGAAGACCTGCCGGGGAGACCGGGACGATGAGTGGATGGGGGTGAGCCTGGCCCGGCAGCCCAGAGCAGATGGCCGTGTTTTGGTAAGACCTCCGGGGACAGGGTGACCTGGGGCAGGGTGTCCTAAGAATGGAGGACTAACTCCACAGGAAAGCCGGCTAGCACAGAAGCCAGAACACGGCTTTTTCTGTTCTTCATTGCTGCTTTGAGGTGTGTCCGACCTGCAGCTTTAGGCCACATGTGACTGCATGCAGCAGAGGACAGCTACGAGGCCGAGCACAGAGCCATAAAGCTCCTGCAAACATTGTGAGCTGCTTTTGTGAACCTGAAAAATAACTCAGTCATGTGGTTCTCGCATGTGAACCTTGCAGGTGACAGTGTTGCGTTGCCATGCCGAAGGTTTACACGCCTAGTACTTTAGACATACTGGGCTGAGGATATGGCTTTTTTAGCATGCATGAAGCCCTGGTCAATCCCAGGAGGCAAGGAGTGAGGGAGAGAGAGAGAAAAAGAGAGGGAGAAAGACAGACAGAGAGAGACAGACACACAGAAAGACTATGAGAATATAGGTAGAAAGAAGTTTGTAATTTCATTTACTAAGTATTTTTGTGTATGTCTTCAAGTCAAGGTATAATTTACATAAAATACATAAAATCTTGAGTTTGTAGCTCACATTTTGAATGTCATTTTGTGCCTGTGTTCAATTCCTGGGACACCTACAGTGAAAGGAGAGAACTGACTCCCCCAAGTCACCCTCTGACATGCGCACGCGCGCGCATAAACACACACACACACACACACACTCACACACACACACACAAATACATGTTAAAAAAAATCAAGCCTCTAACTATAACAGAGACTTGGTTACCAGCCGTTTTCTCTCTTTTCTTTTACATTCTTCTGTTGAGGTATAAGCTTAGGAACTCAAGCATGCACCCCTCACTTGGTGATGGTTTCACACGTATGCATTCAGGCACCCCCTGGGCAGCATGCTGTAGGCTCTTTGTGCCCTTTCCCAGGCAGCTGGTGCCCTGTAGGATGATCCTCTTTAGACTTCGTAGTCTCTTCTGCCATTGGATTTCCTCGAAGGCTTTAGGGAGTTTATGTTTTAGAAGTTCAAGGTCAAGAAGGGAAAGTGAGCCCAGCTGCTGTATCTCAGGGGTTTCCTCTGGGCCACACGCTGTCAAAGCTGGGGGCTTTGTGGATGTTTGCTCCCAGGGGCCTGGGTTTTCCTCAAGGACACAAACCAAAAGTTTCCAGCCCTTTTTGAGGAGATTGATTCTGTGCTGACCTCCTCAACCCCACCTCAGCACACTTAAGAGCCTCCACATTTTTGGGTCCTTGGGAGAGAGGGAGCAGCTGGATACTGTCGCCAGCATTATGAGGCCTCCCCACTGGACACCACAGTAGGCCTCACTGAACACCGCCCCCAATTCTTCTGGCCTTGGATTCCAGTCCTTTAATCCCTGTCTCAGCAGGCCATGGATGGTGGCCAAGCCACCACATTCTTCTAGGCATGGTGGCCTGACCCTACAGTGTGACTCAGCCCCAAAGGGCCAGAACTCTTGTCTACCATTCTTGGGAAAGACAGGGGAGAAACCAAGCATGTATATTCTCCAGAGGGGACCCAGAGCCATGACTCAGAACTGATAGAGAGGAGGAGGTAGCTGGGGACAGGAAGGCACGGGATACCCTCCAGGCATTGAGTCTAGAGATGGCCTGCTTTTAGGGATGCAGAGCCTCCATGTGGCTGGAAGCCTGTTAGCAAAGGTGCAAGACAAAGACTCAGTGCTGTTCCAGTTGGTGTAAGACTGGACCTCTTTAGGGGGCTTGAGCAACAGAGAGGAGCCTGGGAGACATTTGGTAGAGGAAGTCAAGAAGGCAGAGCTGAGTATTTGTAGGAAGTAGTGCCTGATTAATTGAGTTAAATTTCTGTCTTACCCTATGCATCATTCATCTGGTAAGTCACTCCATAAGGGTGTTGGGGAAGGAGAGGAGGGCATGGGAGGAAATCAACAGCTCTCATGTCTCTGATCCTGTTTAGCCATGTATATGTAACACACAATGCAAAACCTCAGCCTTTGAGAATATCATATGCTCTGAGGGTTTATGTGCTTTCTTTGGGCATGCGTGTTACTAATAAACGAAAAGCTCACCACCCCACTAAAATCAGGAGACAGAACCAGAAGCACATGTGAAAACACTGCTGTACAGCAAAGTCTCTAGAACTCCTAGTGTTGAAATGCCAAGCTTTGCGTCTGTTGAACACAATTCTCTCCCCCAAGTCCCCTGGTTCCTGGTAACCATTATTCTAACTTGGAAGTGCTCAGCCGTGGCTGATCCTGTTTAAGTGGAATCAGACAGTGTTTGTCTTTTGGGGATGGTTTCTTTCATTTAGCGCAGTGTCCTTGCCGATCAACTCTTTTGTAGCTGATGACAGAATTTCTTTCTTTTCTCTTAAGACTGAGCGATACTTTATCACGTGTGCACAGTGCTTTGTCTCTCCACTGGTGGATGCATGTTTAGACGGCTTCTCGTTCCTTGCTGTTGCAGATAATGTTGCTGTAAACATCAACAAAGATTTATCAGACACCTCGTTTTCCGTCTCATCTGGGTACATTTGTGAAGTGGGACTGTCAGACCTTGTGGTAGCTACTTTTCATTCTTGGAAATACCTTGTTACTTTGTTGCCGTAAAGTGCATGAGTCATTTTGTGTCTGGCCAGCATGCAGAAAGTTCCAGGGACATTTGTCCTTCTGCCTGTCATTGTTGCCTTGTGGTACTAAAGCTAGAATCCACAGCCTCGAGCACCCGTGCTCTGTAACTGAGCCACACTGCCAGCACAGCACACTCCATTTCCTTCTAAAATAGCAGCCGTCCTAAAGAGCGTGAGGTGATATTTCATCATGGCTGGTGTGTGTGTGCGCTCGAGTGTGAGCACGTGAATAAATGTGTGCATGTGTATGTGTATATGTGTGTTATTTAAATCCATTTCTTTTTTCTTTAATGTCTCATTTTTGTCTGTGAAATCTTTTTGGAAAGCAAGTTTTTCTTTGTTAGTTTGTTTTTGGTTTTGTTTTTTTTGTTTTGTTTTGTTTTTAATTAAAGTTAGAGAAAGCTTTTGAGCTCCCAGGAGTTCTTTGTGGCACAGGATGAGACCTGTCTCTCTAGGGATACAACCTTTGATTTCAAGGGTGGAGTAGGGGAGGGGGAGGTAGCATGGCTGTTTTGAAAAGGAACCTGTTACACATTTCAAAACAAAGAACAGAGGGGGGACTTAAGCTGTCACTTAAGGGAGTGAATGGTCTCAGTGACGAAGGCAGGACCAAGGCTGGCAAAAACCAGGATAGCCTCTCAGGCTAACTTTGGCCCAGTGGCTGGCCATCTTGGCTGTGTGGATAACATGGCACCTTCCAGTTTCTGCAGGAAACCAACAATCTCTGATACAAATACTCCAACTGGACTGAAAGCAAGTTCCTTCCCTTCTCACTCTGCTCTGCACCCCAGGAGCAGAGAGGGTGTCCTCAGGAGTAGGGGAGGAGGGTTAGTCATGCCAAGCAAGCATGGAGACCTGAATCCAGGTCACCAGCACCCTGTAAAAGCCAGACTCAGACACTCATGTTTGTCATCCTAGCCCTGCAGAGGCAGGGACAGAGGCTGTGTGGAGCGCACTGGCCAGTTGGCCAGGCCAAACTGGTGAGCTCCAGGTTCAAAGAGAGAGGCTCTGTTTCAAAAACTAAAGCTAGAAAGTGACAGAGGAAGGAACTCTACTGACCTCTGGCCTCCAAATGCACACACACACACACACACACACACACACACATACACACACACCACTCCCTTGGAGAGCAGCTTGACAGGTCAGAACCGATGTCTTTCCTCATCAGATCTGCCAAGCTTCAGATAACGAATTATCTAATCGCTCGATTTTTTTTTTTTTTTTTTTTTTTTTTTCTGGGTGGAAGAAGAGCTTTCCGGCTCTAACTCTGCTGTTTCCTTTCTGAACGTCAGGGTGCCCTCCCTCTCATCTGTCTCCTTCCCTTGTGTCCATTTTCTTCTCGGCCACTGGCTATGTTCCTGTGAGTGTTTCTGTCGCTGTTTCCTGGTTTGGTGCATGCGTGTGAATGAGTGCTCCGCAGAGATACCACGCAGGAGAAAAAGGGCACACATCATGAGAACACACCCTGATGGGTTTTCTCGAGGTGAATGTTCCCAGCACTGACCCTCTCCCAGTGTCCCCCAGCTGCCACCAGCTCCAGGGTGGCAGAGCATCCCCGGGAGCATTTCGTGCCACCCCAGCCTTGCTTCCATCCTGTGCCCACCACGTGTCTCCGTGGCCATGGCGTGACCTGGCTGTGCGCTCTGGACCTGGAAGCTTGACAAAAGCTTCTCCATCTGTGCACAGCAAGTGCAGGTGTGTGAGGGCGGCAGGGACAGACAGGCGTTTGTGACCAAGCCACCCTCCTGGAAGAACAGGCTGTGTTCACACAACAAAGAAGGCCTTTGAAGGAAATCGGACATTTTCTTCTTCTTCTTCTTCTTATTCCTTGGGAGGGAAATTGACCCTTCTAACTTGAGATGTGTGAGAGGCTAAGGTTCGGGGTGGTGATAGGGTCCTCAATCTTGTCCTAGGGTGATGTGGAAGTTGAATTTAAACAGGTTATTGCCTCTTGGACCTCCTCCTCTTCTTCATCCCCTCCTCCTTCTTATCTTCTTCCTTTATCTCCTCTTTGTATCCTCTTCTTCCTCCCTCTCTTCCTTTTTTCATGCTGCCCCCCCCCCCGCTTCTTCTTTTTATTTCCTCATCTCAGGCCTTCTTCGTGCTCCTAAGCACATACGGTATCTGTGGGCTACTCCCATAGCCCGAAACAAACCTCAGCCACTTCCAGAGGATTTTCGTCTTTTCTGTGTTTTTCACTGCTTCCTTCCCTTCCTTGCAACCCACCCCCCAACTGACCAAGTCACGATGCTCTGCGGTTCCTCAGAACCATCTTCTCGCACAGGATGCGGGTCAGACGGATGCATCTGTCTGATGACAGCTGGGCTACGCACAGGGTTTTTTCTTGTAATTTATATTCAGAGCCTCCTTCCGTTTTCTGGAGTGGGGCTGTCTTTGACCTTTGATCTCTGTCCTCCCAGAATATTGTAAATGGGGTGAGTGTGAAATGTAGTATTTGGGTCTCCTAGGGATTCTCCAAGGTCACTCTTAAACAGTTTATGGGATGGAAAGCAGACAATACAATAAACACGGGCGGTGCTGTCCATGTGTGCAGCTGGCTGCCAGACCTCTCCAATCAGGACGCCATAGGTAACAAAGGCTCAAGCTGTGGGCTGGGTCCTTCAGCTAGAAGAAAGCCCATTCATTAACTGGATGTTGTAAAGGACTTAAGTTTTCAAACTGTAAGGACTAAATCATAACACAGACACACACACACACACAAATCAATTAGTCAGTCCTTTATATCCACAGGTTCTGTGTCCTTGGATCTGGTCCTTCTTACCTGTGGGCTGTGGCTTTGGTTATCTTTATATTTAACTAATTGTGATCAAAACTGTTTTTATTCTTTTTAAATATGCATATGTCCTAAGCATGGCGAGACTTTTCCCTTGTCATTATTTCCCCAGAGAGCATGACGTAACAATTTCTGTAGTGATTGCACTGCTATTAGTATAGAGATGGTTTAAAGTCTGTTCGGGCTGAGAGATGGCTCTGTGTGTAAGGGGGCCTCACTCTTCTAGGACCTGAGTTCTAATCCCTATGTATGCAAAAATCCATAGATGACCATGCATGCCTGTAGCCCCAGCATGGGATTGGAGAGCAGAGACAGTCGGACTCTGGGAACTTCTGGACCGCCAGCCCAGCTGAAACTCTGGGTGCAGTGAGAAATCCTGTCACAAGGCAATAGGATACCATACACATATACCACACACATGAGAGAAGTCTCTCTGTGGAAGTACGGGTAACTACCCACTTCATAATCTTTCCTTTCTCTCACTGCACACTGTCTCGATCTGCCGAGAAAGGTTTGTTGTTGTTGTTCTGCTTGGGGAGGAGAGAGGGCAGGGTAAAGTAGAAGTGGCAGCTGATCTGTCATTGGCCATCTCAGACATGGCACAGGGTATGGCCAAGCTCAGGTCCCCAGCGCCACACTGAATGCCCCTCTTTTGCCTCTGGGCAGAGTGACTTGTCTCGGTCCTGGTGGCAGCTTCATCAGAGGGAAGAAGAGCAGAGAGCTTAGATAACAATGATCTCATCACACAATGAGTGAGGAAGAGCCAGCCCTGGGAGGCTCTGAGTGTCCCCTTTCCAGCTGGGTGCCAGGGCTGCCTGGGGAGGGTTGCGAGAATGGCCCAGCTTCTCAGGCCCAGGATCTCAGCATGAAAAAGACTTTCTAGAGAGACAAGACTCAGGAACAGCTCATTCCAGTCTTGTTCTCAGCCATTTGTTGTGTTCCTCAGCCCTGTCTGCTGCTTACTGCTCCCATAAGGAAAGTGGAAGTTCCAGGCCAGGGAGATGGCTCAGTGGGTAAAGCGCTTGCCATGCAACTCCAGTGACCGAGTTCACTTCCTGGAACCAAGTAAAGGTAGAAGGAGAGAACCGACTACACAAAGTTGTCCTCTGACCTCCACACAGATGCTGTGGCAAAGCCCTGCCTCACCATCATTGTCACACAATAACATTTTTTTTTTTAATTTTAAGAAATTCTCTTAGTCACTCTTCTATTGCTGTGAAAAGACACCATAACCAAGGCAGGCCTTATATGAAAAAAAGCATTTTTTCTTTCTTTTTTTTTTTTTTTTTTTTTTTTTGTGGGCTTGCTTAGAGTTTCAGAGATTTAGTCCCTTATCAGGCAGGGAGCCTGGCACTGGAGCAGTAGCTGAGGACTCCACCCTGACCTGTAGGCAGAGAGAAACATTCTGGCATGGGCTTTTGAAAGCTCAAAGCCCACCCCCAGTGACACACTTCTTCAAACAAGGCCACACCTTCTGATCCTTCTAATCCTTTCAAATAGTGCCATTCCCTAGTGACTGAGCATTCAAATGTGTGAGCCTATTGGGACCATTCTCAGAAATCAAACCACCACAAAAATCAAAACAGAGAGTCAGAGAGCTCTACCACCTCCTTCTGGGATGGTAGAAGTCGAAGACAGATCACCAGCTTTCAGATGTTATGACTCACTGAAACAGTGTGTTTAAAGGAGACAAACTGCCTGGGGAGAGGACCCAAGTTCAAGCCTTAATACCCATATAAAAAAGCGGGCCTGGTAAAAATGGTTATAATCCCAGAACTGAGGAGGTTGAATCGAGTGGATTCCCTGGGATTTGGTGGCCAGTCACTGTCCCAAGCTGAATTTGCGAAAAATGAAAACACTGTCCCCAAAAAGCAAGATGGAAGACATCCTGAGGGATGAAACTTGAGCTTGAGGCACGCGCGCACACGGGAACAAAACTAGACATTAAAATCTCTGATTATTTCAAAGTTCATTACTTTAAGAAAATGTATCCATTGGCCAAAACAAGGTGAAGTGATACCGGAAGTGAGTGGTTCACACTTAGGAGCAGGATTCAGGCTAGGCTGTGCAGGCCCCTGAGCCAGCTGGCACCTTTCCTGTTATCAGGGAATCCCATGCCACACTGGGACCAGAGGTCATGTCCCAGCACCAGGCAGGCTTGTTCTGTTCTGCAGGGCAGGATGAGCCACGGCTGTGCTCTGGCTGGTGGCCCCTGGTTCTCTTAATGGAAACCGGTCAGCCTTAGTGTCCCTCAGAAGTTTGATCCCAGCACTGAAAAATGACTCTCCAAAGCTGGCTGAGACTGCCTGTCCCGAAGGATCTCCTTACACCTCATTCATCTACCCTCTACCCCGAACCTTCCCTGTGGTCCCCGCTCTGCCACTCCCTTCTTGTCTTAGCTCTTTCTTCACAGGGCTTCTTCTGACTAGCTTGTGAAAGGCAACCACTGCCTGGCACTGGGGAGCCATACATACAGTTGAGGGAAACTTTTAAATTGTGAATAGGATCATACTACACACCTCCAACAGCTGTGCCCTGGTCTGCCATTGCCCGTCCACTGAAATCAGCCACCACTGTGTCCATAACACCAATTCTCCCCATCACCGCCGGAGCCTGGCTCCCCCTCTGACCTCCTCTTCCTTTAGACCCTCCCCGCTCACCTTTCTTCTCCTGGAACCTCCAGTCCTGTCTCACTTCTCGTGTTGTGCACCAAATGCTTCTCTTTCGGAGAACTTCTCTTGTGGCCAGTGTGGAGGGTGCTTCCCCTGTCCTCTGCCCAGAAACACCCCCCTCCCTCCCAGACTGCAGCTGACTGTCTTTCATTCTACCCCCATGCTCAGTCCAGCTCTGACTGTCATCATTTTGACTCACTGTCTCTCTCCTCCCAGGAGCTGTTTCTTTCATTCCATTTTTCTTTTACTTATGTTCACTCTTCCTCTCTGTCCTTCTAGGCATGCGCCCATCGCTGGAAGAACATCTACTATGAAACAGACCACATCCTGCCCCACGGATTCTGCTACCTCATCCCGTCCAACCTCCAGGCCAAAGGCAAGACGCTGATCCCCTGCTATGAAGGTGAGATCAGAGTGATTCTCCCTCAGTGCCCTCCTTACTGGGTAGCTTCACCAGCCGCAGCCCCTCCCTTCACACCACTGCCTCACCATTTCCCTGGCTGTCCACACGCTGACATGAGAGCAGGGTTATATGTCCTCAGATTGACTCTGACATCAGAGTTATGTCCAGGTAGGGGCAGTGGCACAGGGCACAGCGGTCCAGGCCCTATTCAGCCTACCTGTCCTGCCACAGAGCCCATGGTACTCTTTACAAAGTTTCAGAGATGAGGTTTAGCCAAGTGACCCAGCGGTTCTCTGAGGTTCCTGATACTGCCAGATGCTGTAGGTCTTGGGAAACTTACTGTCCTTTCCTGGACCTGAGTTACCTCATCAGAAAGGTCAAGAACTGGCTGGCCCAGGTGATCTCCACAGCATCTCTGCAATGCCAGGCTACTCACTGGACTCCTGCAAAACTCTTGGATGTGCTATGCTGGGGGAAGAGAAGACCCAGTACCCATAAGGCAATAGTGCAGCAGAAGTTGGGCCCCAACCCCGCTCATCCAGGCACCCATGACATCCTCGAGTGTCCTGGAGCTGGACAGAGGGAAACCCTTGGTCTGGAGGACACTTGTATCGGCCAGCTATCGCTGTGTAACAACACATGGCAAATAAGAATAAGCATGGATTTGTTCTCACTTGCACAGCTCCCCACAGCCGGGCTCAGCAGAGCTTCTCGGGCTCTGGCTGCCAGCTCAATTCAGGTGTGTTCTAGGTGTTGCCTTCTGAGACCAGTGAGCCACGTGGGATGAGCTATGAGAACACGGGGTCAGGGAGGTCTTCTGCAGTTCCTTGCTTAGAGGTCAAATACTTGGGAAAAACTGAGCCAGTTACTGTGTAGCCAGTTGAGTCTGGCCTTCAATCCCCGGTTCCTAGCCCACTTCTGGGAATCCGAGTCAACTCTCTCTCTAAATGCAAGGCTGTTCCGTTTTTAATTGCTTCTCACTTATTCATTTGGAAAGAGGTCTCACTGGCCTGGCTCCACACTGCCCTGTGCTTCTCTGGGCTTTCTTAGGTTTTACACTTGTGGCCATCAAGAGGGTTCTGACACTGTCTGGAGATTGTAAGTTATTTTTATCTCATGAGAAGAACACCAGGGCAAAATGCAGAACTCAGAAGGCTCAAGCAGGTCCTTTTGTGAACTGTTCTCTCCAGAAAGATCAGTGGGGAATCTCAACAAGGTACAGACTCTCTTCTTGTGTGAGGATTGTTCTCATGGCTGCATTCCTTCTCTGCTTGAGCATTTGGCTGGCTCTGGCTGGGCCAGACGGAGAGACTGAACTCTGGTGCTGTTTACCTCCATATTGTCCCAATGGGAAGAAAAATGTCGTCTTAAAAATAGTGATATAGCCACAAATGTAGCTCAGTTGGTAGAGTGACTGCCTAGCATGAATGAGGACCTGGGATTTTATTCTCCAGGCCAGCTAGGGTATATAGGCCCCTGTCTTGAATGAATGAATGAATGAATGAATGAATGAATGAATGAATGAATGAACAAGCACATGAACACCAAGCCAGGACACCAGGTTTTCACCCGATCATCTCAGTGCTTCTCATATCCCACACAGCCTACTCACTGGTCCCCCGACACAAGCACACGGAACAGACTTGACCCAGAGCCCAACCATGTCAGTCAGGCCCTAGCTCAGCTTATGAGTGAGAAATCAACGTTCGTTATCATTTGCCATGAAGAACCACAGTTGTTACTCAGGGGTAGCTGACTGATGTGGGGCTCAGCTCAGCAGCCCAGAGTCCTCATGCAGGGATGGCCCAGCTTTCTGTATTTCTTGACTCCACGATGGTCACATGAAGATTCTAGCAAGCTGATTTTGTTTGCACCTGACTTTCCTTCCTTAAGGGCACACCCACATTTGAATTTGTACTTTGGGGAGAGGAAAAAAAACCCAAAGAACAAAAACTCCAGAAGAGGTGGGGCTGGCAGAGTAGCCCTGGGACAAAGAGCAGCTGCTTAGGAAAACTGAGGGCTGGACAATGGGTCTGTGTTCTTGGATCTGTAAAATGAGAGGGATGGTGAGACTCAGATTTCTCTGCTCGACTGGGCCAGTGGGGAGATGAGGAGGGAGGCCAGCCACAGTGAGAGGGCCCTCGCCTGTGCTGTTAGTTTTGGAGACCTCTACTTCCCTGTTTTGTGGTCTAAGTGAAACCAACTTTGGCTCCTAAAACAACCATTATTTTCTCTTACTGTGGAAAATCTCAGTGATGCAAGCTCCCTGTTCCAGGTGGGAAGCATATTATTATATCAAGAACAATGGAAGCATTTAGTGTTTGATAGAACTTTTCAGATGTCATCTAGACCAGCTCACTGGGTGTATCAAGGTCCAGAGAGATAAGCATGGCTCATGCAAGTCTATGTTTTCACTCAGTGATTCGCTGTGTGGAGAGTGAGTGCCATAGTACCTGGAACAAACCTCGGGTCCCCAAGCGCCGGGCCCTGAGTTCTGCCTCTACAGTGTCATCTCATTAACACATGACCACTGATGAGAATTTACATTCTGTGTCTAGCCTAAGGGATCAATCAATACCTTTGAGTTCTTAGCGCAGCATCAGGTAGGTATCTGCTAACATACTATATGCCGAGCATATCACACATGGTAATGTGCTTGTTCTATGCCAGCGACCTCAGCACTAAACAAGGTTTATTAATCATTATACGGTGACGACTTGTGTTTCAGGAATACAGCCTGTTTAGCTTGGTTGAGGCCTGAAAGGCATCAGATAGACAAAAGCCAGCAGGCAGTTCCAGAGGAGAGGGCAACAGGGAATGGTGGGTAGAATAAAGAAGAGAGAGGAATGCGTGAGCAGAGGAAGGAAGCCACGGGAATGGTGAAGGAACGTGGGAGGGTACAGTGGAGGGAGCGTGCGCTCGCTGAGGAAAGTGTGTGCTAATACATGGGAGGGAGGCGAGGTGGCTGGGGGGTTGAAGAGCTCACCACCCAAGCTGGAGGACCAGAGCTTAGACCCCATATAAATGGCAGGTGAATGAGGCAGAGGCCGAAGGATCCCGCAGAACACTGGCTAGTGAGACTAGCTCTGGGTTTGATTGAGAAGCCCTGAATCAATGGCTAAGGCGGAAGAGCCCTGGAGGATGATTCCTGACATTAGTTGTAGGCCTTGACATGCGTGCACACACACGCATATGAACACATGCATATCTACATATGCTCATGCACACACATACATGCGAAAAATACTTGCCTGAAAGTGTCATAGTTAAACTTATTTTTTAAACAATAATTAGAAATGGATAAAAACCAGGAATCTCCCACTTGCAGGAGAGAACAGAGGAAGCCCCATGTCTGAACACTGGTGCTGTGTAGGATTGAATTCCCAACCTACACATGCTCTGTTGAGCACCTCTCCCCAAGGGCCTGAGCTGCATCCAACTCAAGGGGACATCAAGGCAGGATTATTTCATTTTACTGTTGAGGAATTTGAAACCTGATCAGGCCTTACAGTCTGCTGAGGACGGGAAGTGAGGGGCAGAGGAACTGGACCATAAGTCATGGAAGCCAGTACAGGGGCTGGGGAGACCTGCTTCCCGGTTTACTTTCTGTGCAATGACAGCATGCGGGAGGGGCCGAGACAGGCTGGATGGAGGCTGATGTACCACGTCTTCCTCGGCGTAGTTAAAGCTCTGGCCTGCTCTGCAGTGGGAGTGATGCCGGCCCGCCCCTACTCCTCTTTGCTGTGGGGAGCTCATGACAAGTCCCAGATGACAGTGTCAGAAAGCCTGCCTGTTGCTCTGTAGAAGTGGCTCCTCATTGGTCTTCCCGAGGGTCAGCTGTGCAACCGTCAGAAGATGGGAAGGCCAGTTTGATAGACTAAACTCTCTGGGCATGAGTCACCTTTCCGAAATATCTTGAGTTTTTCTGGTTTCTGAAAAAAAGATTTTATTTTATTTTTAAGTGGGTGTGGGTGTGGGTATACGTGCATATGAGTGAAGGTACCCATGACAGCCAGAAGAGGGCATGAGGTTTCCTGGAGCTGAATTTTCAGGTAGTTCAGTCCCCTGAATTTGGGTCCTCTGGGACAGCAGTATATAATCTTAACCACTGAGCCATCTCTCCTGTCCCTCAAGCTTTTGATTTCTTAAAAAACACTGGTCTTGGGTTTGGCCCAGGACATTTTCTCAGCTGCTTCCTGTTGGATGGGAGAGGCTACCAGAACATCCTGTTGGAACCAGGAAACACAGAAGGGATCAGACATAAAAAGACTAGGACGTAAAGTAAGATAAATCCACCGTGCATCCCTTCAGCAACACGTCAAGCATTATGTCCATGTGTTGTCTTTGTCAGAATGTGGGAGAAGATAAGAACACAGTGGGCAAGGTCGGGGAGACTACCAGAAAAATAGTGAGCACTAGCAAACATCCGTGCCTTAAATACACCAGGATGCTTTTTAATTGGGTGTATGTGTGTGCAAATGTGCCGCTGAGTGCAGGTGGCCCTGGACGCTGGAGTTAGGAAGCATCAGATCCCCCGAGCTTCATCTCCAGCTACCACACCAGGGTACCTTAAGCCTCCCAAATCTTAAGTCAGTACACGTGATAAAAGCAAGTACAGACACTTCTTTTATTCTGTACCCTTGAACCCACCAAGGCAAGAAGCCAGGACTCAGCAGGAGATTGTAAACAACTCATCTTTTTATTGTGATGGGGAAAAAAATATCTCATGAGTCTGGGGTGACTTGAGAGGAGCCTGGTAAGATTAGCAAAAAGTGTTTGGCGATTGAGAGGTGCAGTCAGAGGGCCAGTGAGATGGTCAGCTGGTAGGGTGCTGGCTGCCACGCGCCAAGCCCGCATGGGGGAGGAGAGAGCTATTCCCATGAGCCATCTACCCTTTGATTTCCACATGTGTGCACTAGCATGTGTACATGCCTTACCCTGCAAACGAACAAACAAATAATCAATGCAGACTTTGTTTTTTAAAGAGATGTATTTAGTAG